CACATAGGCTGAGCGGTCAGTTAAGTAAGACTGTAGCCACTTCGTGGCCTAATTAGGTAATCCCATACAACTCATTTTATCCACTGCAAGCACATGTGGAACCCTATCGAACGCCTTACTGAAGTCCACGTAGATCGCATCAACTTGTCGTCGTTTTTCAATGGATTTGGAATATTTTGGCGTTTTTAAGGAGCTTTTGGTACCTTCAGGGCTGTTCTATCATTTGATTTCAGGACTATTCTCAGGCATCCTCAGGCATTTTCGGCGGTTTTTAGGACTATTTAGACGTTTTAAGAGCTTATAAGAGTTGTCGTTTTGAAGATAAGGGTTAACAGTATTTTTTTAACTAGTTCGTTTATTTGAAAGGCTCAATCGCGTTGGCTTTACGGAGCCGATAGTTCATTTTTCTTTGTAACAAAATTCACTTAATTCTAAAGGGTGTCCACGATGAAATTGCCACACACAAAATTGATTCGCAAAATTCGAGTTTTCATCCGATTGCCATCAAATTTTCAGGGATTGAGAAATAACTATTAAACTTCATTTTACCATTTTACTCGTATTTTATTTACAGTCCATACGCAAATGCCCGCACCTTGGCCTTAACCCCGGCCATAAGATTCTGCACAACCTGTGAATCAACCGTTTTTTTGCATGTAAACCCATACTTTCTTCAGTTCCTCGACTGTCTTCACTACCTTAGGTCGTTTAAGAAGGTGCTGCTCCGGAGTGTTGAGAGGGTTGAACATTTTCGGTACGAAATTGACCTTATTGTCCGCATACCACTTCAGCACGTCCTTGGAGTAGTGGCATGAGGCCAAATCCGGCCAGAAGATTGTTGGGACGTTGTGGGCCTTCAGGAGAGAAAGCAGCCGCTTCTGGAGGCACTATTTTATGTACACCTGTCCGTTCATCGTGTCCTGGGTCACGAAAGGTGCACTCCGCTTCCCGCACGTGCAGATGGCTTGCCAAACCAGGAATTTCTTCGCAAATTTGGACATCTTCTGAGTGCGGACATGCTCCGGAACGCTGAACTTATCCTTGGCCGTGAAAAACAGGTTGCCGGGGATCTGTTTGAAGTCGGCCTTCACATATGTTTCGTCGTCCATGATGCAGTATTCAACTTTCGTCAGCATGTTGAGGTACAACTTCCTGGCACGGGTTTTGGCGGACTTGTTCTGCTTCTCGTCGCGATTAGGGGCCTTTTGTACCTTGAACGTTCGAAGCCCAGCCTTAGTTTTGGCCTTCTGGACAAAACTTCGGCTTAGGTGCAGCTTCTTAGCCACATCCCTAACGGAGGCGTTCGGATTTCGGTTGAAGGCCCCAACTACGCGGTTGTGATTTTTGGTGTTGTACGGAATACTTTTTCCTTCACTTCTGGGCTTCCGATCGGTGGTCTACCGTTCCTCGAACCGCTTAATCACTCGCGACACCGTGGAATTCGCGATTCCCAACGTTTTAGCGATGGAACGATGCGAGAGATCATTGTTCTCGTGATGAATGCGCAAGATTTTATCACGCACGAGCTGTTCTTTCGACTCCATTTCCGTGAGTTTTGATCACAGGACTTTAAAACTTGCAGGATGTAAATAATGCACTATGAACTAAATCCACCCAAATTTTCATTAAATTCTACCCAACGGTTAAAAAGTTAGAGCAATTTCATAGTGTGGCAATTTCATCGTGGACACCCTTTATGTCTAGTAGGAGTTGGGCCGAATACTCGCGGCTTACCCGAAGTTAGAGAAGTACATTGCCGAGTTACGAGTTATCAGTATTTTTTAATGATTTTAGTGAAGTTTTGATGTTTTAAAACCTTTTGTAGGTCATTCTTAAATTCATTTAGTAAATTATAGGCTATTAGGCTATTTTTTTTGTTTTGTCAAATTTTGTCGTTTCCAAAAGCCTTTTCAGCGTTTTTACGATGTTAGGCAATTTTTTTCATTCTTAAGTCCAATTTGACATTGAAAGTTGGACCGGAGTCGGTGTATTTTTAACCATTTTATCGTTTTAATGTGCTGATATTACTCATGCGTTTCGATTACTCTTAGTGTTTTCTGTTCATTTTTACACAATTAAAGTCGTTTTTAACTGATTTGGCGTTTCAGCGCAAACTTCTGAAATTCCAGATAAAAAAAATTGGCTTCTGAAGAAAAATCTAAAGGACTCCGGGGAGAACTCAACGTAGTTTAAAGTAGGATTCCAGGATCTGATGATAATTTCTAAGGTATTCTGTGGAAAAATTCCTATGGCATTTTGAGGATTTAAAAAAATCCCACTCGATCTCCATCGATTTGCCTGAAGCTATGCTGAATTAGTCGAAGATGCTAAGTTTCAAATAACAGTTTAAGTCTGTGGTAATTTTATACGATAGATGAGGAGATAACCACTTTAAGTTTGTTATTTGAAACTTAGCATCTTGCAACTATGTAAAATCGTTAACTTTACGCAGAAGTAATACAAACAAAATAGTTAAAGTATGCTCAATTGTTTTTTATGGACAATAGAGTGATGCAAAATTTGAAATGTTCACCCCACAGGGCTCAAACGGCCGGCGCCAGTGGTGTAGTGGTAAGCGGGACTGCTTTCTCGCCAAAATAGGTCTGGGTTCAATGCCAGCCGAGGTCGGTGGGATTTTTCTGAGGCATAAAATTCACTGGTCACGTCTTTCTTCGGAAGGGAAGTGAAGCCGTTGGTCCCGGCCCATGTGTGTTGAATTGAATGGGTGCGATATCCTACGCAGGTGTGAAAGCTGCCTTCCTGCACATTTGATTGCCGTCAATGGATGGCAATAGATGTCCGTCAGTGATTGGCACTAGATTGCGGAACAGAGACCGACGTTAAATAAGGGGAAAAAATGGGCTCAAACGGATTCAAAGCGGGTCTTGATCAGCCTTCCAAAATTTGAACTCATTTGGTAAGAAACATTTGAAGTTTGTATGGAAATTACTATGGGAAAACCAAACTTTTTATTCATTGTGTTCTAGCCTTTTTCCATAATGCTCTGCTGAAAAGTTCTATACCTATTATTTTCTCTGAATTTTCTCAGCTACCTACATCCTTATGGAATGATAATTCTTTAGTCAAACGTCAAATTAAATAGTTATTAATTATTTAAGAGATTGATAATCTTATGGCATGATTAAGCAGCTGTTTTGTGCGAAACACTGCATTGTGCAGTGTGACATAATAGCCATGATTGTTTTGCTCTATTCCACATGCCATAAACACCAATGTTGCTTGCTGAGAACTTAAAGCCGGCTCTCAACTTTGTGTTCTTCAGGCACTTGCTCAGTTATTGATTGACAGGATTGTAAGCCTGTACCATTTTTGCATTAAGCTGGGTTTAGACAGGTCAAGTCAATTGATCAAGTCAGTTGAATTCAACTGACTTGAACGCGAATTGAACGTGTAAACCATGCCATTCAACTGACTTGATCAACTCACTTGAATTGAAAAAAGCTGAACCAGGCTCAACTTTTCAAGCCAATTGAATTCAACTGAGTTGATCATTTGACTTACCTAGTCTAACCCCAGCTTTAGTATTTTGTCCAGGGAAGTCGAGAAATTTTCCAACCTGAAAAAATCCTAGAACGGACCGAGAATCGATCCCAGCCGCCTCCAGCATGGTCTTGCTGCTTTATAGCTGCGGCTTTACTGACTGAGCTAAGCGAGGCCCCGAGCATTTTCCTAACACTTTTTGATAAAAAAAGTTGAAAAGACTTGTGAAAAGAACATTTTTTGTTGTTTAAGTTTTAAAACTTTTTTTGATTTTTTAATTACCAATATAATTTCTAATAAATAGATCATGTTGTCATGTTTGTCAAGATTCAAAATGGCCAACCTTACAACAAGCGGAGACAACTAGCTTCTTTTTGTCTGTGACGGTCGCGGAAACGACCGTGCAAAAACTATTTTATTATGGGCGACGCAGTCGACTGTCGAAGTACAAGAAAATAGATTCCCTGTAGTAAAAATTCTCGTGTTTTTATACGTTCGCCCTACCAATCACGCGCTGTTCACGTTTGACAGAAAATTGGTTCATAAAAGTCCCCCTGTTGCTTCCTCTTCCTCTTACAATTTAAGCAAAAATCAGGGAAAAAATGTGAATGACAAACAATTGTGCGAAGTTTCATGCAAATCTGAGAAGACCGCATCTGATCGATTTGTCATTTGGTGTGGAATTGCTGGTATTTAGGAGAATACTTAAGGGCCACCCACATTAGATCCGTTTGCGTTGCGTTGACGTAAATTTGACAGTTAGACAATAGATTTAGCTGTCACTTTGCCGCAACGCGTCCGATCCGGATCTAATGTGCGTGGGCCTTTAGGGTTTTCTGCGGACAATTTTATGGAGATTGTGAGTAAAATTCTAGGTGAAGAGAGAACTCAATCCAAAAGACCATTCCAAGAAACCGCAAAATCTAAATGAAATAATTTCGTGCGAACTTTGTGAGAATGCTTATGGAATTCTAACGAGAATAGCAAGAGAATTTTCAGGAGATTCCTAATGAAAAAAGTTTTCTGACAAGAATTTCTTGTGTCTTATAGAGAAATCATACCAGAAAACTATAATATGAACTTTGAAGAAATGCTGAGATGATTATAAGAGACTTTTTGAGATAATTTAAAATAAATTCTGTGCGATGTTTAAAATCCAATAAATTTTCGGTTACAGCTACAAAAACGAACAAAATTACTAATTAACCCTTTGTTCTACGCATAAAACAATACTTTCGCGAATATCTAAACACACCGATGAAGAGTGCTATTTTAAATCCACATGAACCTGGTCAAACTATTTATTCATATAGGTACACTTCATTCCTTTATCCTTCGCCGTCACCAAAGGAAAACTTATCGCATCGATCAAACAAAAAAACACAACTGGAATCACATCCTCCTGGCTCTTACGATTGTCATGTTCGTTGCCCAAGCAACCGTCGTTCGTTTGATTCCGCTTTCGACCCCGCTGAGAGCAGTTTCCGAATGATTGTTTATTCGATTGCATCGGTCGGAGGCGAACGCACCAAAATGATGCCCGTTGCAGGAAACATTCAAACTTCAAGGAAAAATTGTTTCTCCCAAAATTATCCTTTCCGTAAGGACGAGGACGAGCCGGATGAAGAGGAATGCGAGATTCCTCCGACGGAATACGAAGATAATTACCTCTACCGGAGATATGATAATAAGCCGAGTAAGTATTTACCATTCACGTTTGGTAATCGGTAGAAGGTGAAGGTAATTTCGGATTTCCATTCCTAGAACTGAGACGGGACTTCTTACGGGAGCAGTTCCGGAAAAAGGCCACCCAAACTGTAATGAAACAAGCGCAGGAACAGTATGAAACGATTCACAGCCAAGAGGTCGAAAGGATGCCCCTGAAGAAACGACCGGACTATTACATGGCGAAGGATATCAATAATGAACCTCAGTACAATCTGAACAAGACTGATGATATGATGACGTTTTGGAGTTATAGGTCGCGAACCAATGCTTCTCGGAGAAGAAATACCAATTTCACAAAGCCCATCAGCGAGCAATTGGATCAACAGTTCGGATAAAGAATTTGGATTTTGAAATTCATTTCATAACTTGCTTTCTATATTTTGCTAAATTATCTAATAAAGAGTCAACATCGTTTGCCAAAAATATCACCGTGTAAGTTCTGTGTCGCTTTTGTACTTAAGCCTTCTCCTCGGTGGCGGTTGTCGCTCCAGATGCAGTTGACTGGCTATCATCAACCATCGGCTTGTCCTGGCAGGATAGCGATGGGAACTTCTGGTGCAGAACAGCGCGGTACTTCGGATGGCTGATACCGTAGACAATTGGATTGTAGACGGCGTTGGCCTTGGCAAACAACGATCCCCAGATGGTGGCCAGTGGGCTGATCGGAGCGGCCTTGAAGATACCGGTGAAGTTGATGACCAGATACGGAGTCCATGCCATGAACCACAGCGAGATCGTAACCAGAGCAACCTTAGCCAGCTTGATTTCAGCGCTGGTTTGGTTAGCTTCCGAGGATCGCAGGGAAGCGACGTTCATCTTCTTGGCCTGTTCCCGCATGTTCTTCTCGTGTTCGGATACTGCCTTCAGAATGAAGTAGTACGAGTAGATGATCGTGAGCAGAGGAGTCCAGTAGACGAAGATGGCGTAGATGATGATGTACGAGCGGTTCAACCAGGTGGTGGTGAGGTAATCAGTACCGCAGGCAGTCATGTTACCTTCTGGGACATATCGGTTCCATCCGAAGAATGGAGCCAAAGTCCAGAACAGAGCAAAGGCCCAGATCGCCATGATGCGCAACAGGGCGCCATTGTTGGTCATAGGCTTTCCAGACAGACCCTTCACGATGACATTGTATCGGTCGAATGCAATCATAGTCATGGTCCAAATCGAGGCACAGCCAAACAGTGATCCAAACATGGCATAGAGTTCGCAAGCGAATGGTCCAAAGACCCAGGTCTCATGCCAGCAGTTGATCACCATAGGCGGTCCCATCGTAAACATCATAAAGAAATCCGAGAAGGCTAGATTGACCACTAGCAAGTTGGATGGGGTGCGGAGGCTTCGGGTGCCGGTAAAGATGTAGATCACGCAACCATTACCAAGCATAGAGACGACTCCCAGCACGAAGATGGCGAATCCAAGGATTGAATGCCACAGTGGGTTCATCGGTGGGAACTGGTTCCAGTGAGGGTGGATCATGTGCAACATTTCCGGCGCGACCTTGTCTACGACGGATATGTTGCTACCACCAGCCTGCCAGGCGTCAAAATGTGGTTCCACGAAGGCTGCCATTTTCTAAATTGTGGGAAAAGTGAAATGCCTGGTTGAAACAAAATACATTTTGAGGTTATATCAATACTTACATTTTTTTCTCTCTAAACAGTACCTTACAACAAATGCAAAGCACTAATTGCTATGTTTTCAAATGCGTCTACAAACTTGTGATGTTAAGCTGAAGAAAATCGCTCGGGGACGAACTACTTCAGACTTAATGGCACTAGGCGTACTGTAGGTTGCGGTTGGAAAACCCAAAGTAACTCGACAATTCCAATGCATACAGGCGGTATTTATACGTTCCAAGCGACTAAATTGAATTAAGGGATTGTTAAAAGTTTAAAATGTCTTTTCTTTGCATGTTTTCTTTTGCTGTGGCGACCAAGAAGAATATTTAATTATAAGACATTGACACAAAGTAAACGGTATGATTACGCAAACGATGGGAAAATCGATTGTCTACCGCCGTAAAGTGTAGGCGATAAAGATAGAATAAGTACACATAGTTTTTCATCTTGTTTGCTTGCTTCAAAAATTTGGTAACTTTATTGAACTATTTAGCTTTCTTGTTTGGCATTTTGGTCCGTCATCATAAAATGTCATGTTTATTTAGGCCTTTTCTTCGGATGCCTGAGTAGCTCCTGAAGCGACCGACTGAGCATCGCTTGAGGGTTCATCCTGGCAGGATAACGATGGGAAGGTCTTGTACAAGGCAGCGCGGTACTTAGGATGGCTGATCCCGTAGACAATCGGGTTGTAGACGGCGTTGGCCTTGGCGAATAGCGATCCCCAGATGGTGGCCAATGGGCTGATCGGGGCGGATTCGAAGACACCGGTGAAGTTGATCACCAGGTACGGAGTCCATGCCATGAACCACAGTGAGATCGTGACCAGGGCAACCTTGGCCAACTTGATTTCAGCGCTGGTTTGATTAGCCTCCGAGGATCGCAGGGAAGCGACGTTCATCTTCTTGGCCTGCTCACGCATGTTCTTCTCGTGTTCGGATACTGCCTTCAGAATGAAGTAGTACGAATAGATGATGGTCAACAGAGGCAGGAAGTACACGAAGACGGCGTAGACCAGGATATACGAGCGGCTGACCCAGTCCTTGGTCAGATAGTCAGTTCCACAAGCGGTCATGTTGCCTTCTGGGACATAACGGTTCCATCCGAAGAATGGAGCCAAAGTCCAGAAAAGAGAGAAGGCCCAGATCGCCACGATGCGGAGCAGGGCACCGTTGTTGGTCATAGGCTTGCCAGACAGACCCTTCACGATGACATTGTATCGGTCGAATGCAATCATAGTCATGGTCCAAATCGAGACACAGCCGAACAGTGATCCCAGACAGGCATAAATCTCACAGGCGAGTGCACTGAAGTACCAGGTCTCGTGATAGCAGTTCACAACCATTGGCGGTCCCATCGTAAACATCATAAAGAAATCCGAGAAGGCTAGATTGACCACTAGCAGGTTGGATGGGGTTCGGAGCCCTTTGGTGCTCGAGAAAATGTACATCACGCAACCGTTTCCAGCCACGGAAACTACTGCCAGCACGAAGATGGCGAATCCTAGCAGCGAGTGCCACAGTGGGTTCATCGGTGGGAACTGATTCCAGTGTGGATGAACCATGTGCAAGATTTCCGGCAGCACTTTGTCGACAACGGTTATGTTGCCGCCACCCGCCTGCCAGGCCTCGTAATGTGGTTCCACGAAAGCTGCCATCTCTACTGTTTAAAGATATTTTTCGACTTGATGAAATTTTCTCGAGAAAACGCGTTCCAAACTTTGATCACAATTTCAAGACTGAAGAAAATCGTTGGTTAGACGAACTACTTCAGACTTTCAGACTTGTTATTCACAGAATGGTTGCTGGTCAGTCACCAAATAACAACTCGAATTGTTTGAGCCAAAGTTTCGGTTTTTATACAAATGTACTATAATCGAATTACAAACCTAGGACAACATGTTTTTAATAAGCCAAACATGGACACTCTTTTTATAACAAAATCGAGCAGTGGGCCTGCATTTTTACGGTAATTTAGACACTTTTGAAAGGCATTGCGACCGTTTGGAAGCAGTTTTCGTCCAAGTTTTGAAGCAAGCAAGCCTGAATATTAATCATACACGCAACCGGGAAATGTAAGATTCTATTTCAGATTTACATGAAAAGTATGCAGAATTTGAAACGTTTCGCGACATGAAAAGATTCTGTAATGTAGTTGCCGGAAGGTTTGTTGAATAATTTTGTATTTTTTTTAACTAAGTTTGTTTTCTCAAATGACTAGAAAATCATCTCGTGAAGGTTTTATTCAAAAATATGCATTCTGGAAAAACTTGCAAAACCGTAATTTCGTTTGTGGTATGAAACATGTGAAGAGGATGTAATAAATCCATCCTTGCATTGGATGCAAGAGAAATTTGTTTTACGTGTAAAAACGAAAACCGGAATCCTTACGGTAGTGGTTTTGCTTGCCCTTTACCGAAAATAAAATGCTAATGCATTACGAAGGAACAAAACGAAAGGGTAAGACTTTAAGCTTCTCGTATATTTTAGGCAACATGTTTCTTTCAAATTAGAGAAGTGCGGTCAGGTGAAATTTTAAAATCCAATTAAAGTGGTAGTATAAATACCCTAAGTGGCGTCTAGCAAATGCGAGTTCCATTTTGGTGTTCAACCGTGTGCGTGAAAATCTGAAGTAGTTCGTCTCCTAAAAAAGCGATTTTCTTCAGATCAGAGAGAAAGAAGAGTACAGTAAATTAATTATGGCAGCCTTCGTGGAACCACATTACGAGGCCTGGCAGGCGGGTGGCGGCAACATAACCGTTGTCGACAAAGTGCTGCCGGAAATCTTGCACATGGTTCATCCACACTGGAACCAGTTCCCACCTATGAACCCACTGTGGCACTCGCTGCTAGGATTCGCCATCTTCGTGCTGGCAGTAGTTTCAGTGGCTGGAAACGGTTGCGTGATGTACATTTTCTCGAGCACCAAAGGGCTCCGAACCCCATCCAACCTGCTAGTGGTCAATCTAGCCTTCTCGGATTTCTTTATGATGTTTACGATGGGACCGCCAATGGTTGTGAACTGCTATCACGAGACCTGGTACTTCAGTGCACTCGCCTGTGAGATTTATGCCTGTCTGGGATCACTGTTCGGCTGTGTCTCGATTTGGACCATGACTATGATTGCATTCGACCGATACAATGTCATCGTGAAAGGTTTGTCTGGCAAGCCTATGACCAACAACGGTGCCTTGCTCCGCATCGTGGCGATCTGGGCCTTCTCTCTTTTCTGGACTTTGGCTCCATTCTTCGGATGGAACCGTTATGTCCCAGAAGGCAACATGACCGCTTGTGGAACTGACTATCTGACAAAGGACTGGGTCAGCCGCTCGTATATCCTGGTCTACGCCGTCTTCGTGTACTTCCTGCCTCTGTTGACCATCATCTATTCGTACTACTTCATTCTGAAGGCAGTATCCGAACACGAGAAGAACATGCGTGAGCAGGCCAAGAAGATGAACGTCGCTTCCCTGCGATCCTCGGAGGCTAATCAGACCAGCGCTGAAATCAAGCTGGCCAAGGTTGCCCTGGTCACGATCTCACTGTGGTTCATGGCATGGACTCCGTACCTGGTGATCAACTTCACCGGTGTCTTCGAATCCGCCCCGATCAGCCCATTGGCCACCATTTGGGGATCGCTATTCGCCAAGGCCAACGCCGTCTACAACCCGATTGTCTACGGGATCAGCCATCCTAAGTACCGCGCTGCCCTGTACAAGACCTTCCCATCGTTATCCTGCCAGGAAGAACCCTCAAGCGATGCTCAGTCGGTCGCTTCAGGAGCTACTCAGGCTTCCGAAGAAAAGGCCTAGATCTAGATAGACAAATGATCACGCATGGTATTATGTTGAGTAACAAAACTGTATAGGAAGCTTTATATAATAAAGTATGCAGCATTTAAAATCAATGTTGGTGGTTTGAATCGGTATAGAAAACAAGTCCTGGGTAATGGAGAAAATTGATTTGAGCAGTTCAAAATTGCGTGCGTTTGATTTAGTGATGAATTTTTAAAAATGTTTCTTTTCTTAAAAGCTAAAACTAAGGGGGGTAAGATACGCGCACGCTAAGTAGATGAAAAGAGGACTGATGAAGATTTTGAAGATATTTGCAAAAATATTTTGGAAATCTCTTGAGAAATCCTTCGGAAGACTCTTCAGAAATCCCTGGAAATTCTGCTGAGAAACCCATTACAAATTTTGTTGTAGGAATTTATTTTTATTTTTTCTTAGAATTTACTTGAACTTGTTCCCTTAAATTCTGTTTATATTTCTCTTTGAATGATCATAAGAATTCTCTTAGGCTTTCTTATTAAAATAAACCTTCTGTTCTCCTCAAGATGGCCATACAATTATCATCAGAATTTTCTTGGAATTTTCCTTAAAATTTTCCGCACAACTCCCTTATTATTATTCTTAGAATAACATAGGAATTCATAGTTGAAGATGCTAATTTCAAATAACAGACTAGAGTGGTAATTTTTATACGATAGATGAGGAGATGTAAGTTCAGAGTTGATAGTTGCCCGTTAGAGTACGGCAGTGTGAAATTGTATATATATAGAGAGTAGAAAGCGACCAAGAACAACTTTTATGAATGAAGGTACAAATCGGTTTGATCATCTCTCTTTACCAAACTACCCCGTTGGAGAGGGATGGTGAGGGGTATACCAAACCCCCGCCACCACTGGCAAAAAGAAATGATCACCGACACGCTCATGTACCGACGATATGTTTGAAACAGTTCTATTGATTTTTACCGCACTCAAGTTGTTATCTGAAGGAAGGCATCCAGTCGTAGGTGCAGCTATTGTTACCTCTACCACGGTATGTGCTCCTGTCATCGTCGACTTGACGATCTCGAGGGGACACGGTTAGGGTAGGTGCTGCTACTGTACCTTTGGTGCGATAAAAATCGATAGAACTGTTTCAAACACATCGTCGGTACATGATCATCTCTCTTTACCGGTGGTGGCGGGGGTATACCCCTCACCATCCCTCTCCAACGGGGGAGTTTGGTAAAGAGAGATGATCTAACCGATTTGTACCTTCATTCATACAAGTTGTCCTAGCTCGCTTTCTACTCTCTATATATATACCATTTCACACTGCCGTACTCTCTAACGGAACTATCAACTCTAAACTTTCATCTCCTCATCTATCGTATAAAAATTACCACTCTAGTCTGTTGTTTGAATTTAGCATCTTCAACTATGTAAATCGTTGACTTCCCGCAGAACTAATACTAAACATATAGTAAAAGTATAGGAATTCAGTTCAGAACTTCATTTTTCACTCGCACGAGAAATGCCTTGTCTCCGAATTCCTGAGAACTTCATCTTCCGAGTAGCACACTTGTTGCCAAACGGTTATGGTTTCTTCAATGTGACTTATTTCAGTCGCAATCAAGTTGCTGCAACTGTGTCTGACTGAAGGGTGTTACTCGGGCTCAAAATTATGTTGGGATTCTGGTTAGAACTCCTTACAATTTTTCCAAGATTTTTGTAGCTTTTTTTAATTAATTTTTTTGTAGGAATTCACTTCGGCATTTTTTTTTAATTCAACACTTAAATTCTTTTTAAATTTTCCTCAAAATTTTACAGGTATTCTTCAAATTGTTTGAAACCTGAAGTTCCAGAGCCTTGAAAATTGTCCAAATCCGATAATGAGTTTTGTTTTGTTTAGATCTAAGATCATTGAAATTTTTCAAGTCCCATTGTTTTTTTTTTCTTAATAAAGGGTGTCCACGATGAAATTGCCACACTATGAAATTGCTCTAACTTTTTAACCGTTGGGTAGAATTTAATGAAAATTTGGGTGGATTTAGTTCATAGTGCATTATTTACATCCTGCAAGTTTTAAAGTCCTGTGATCAAAACTCGCGGAAATGGAGTCGAAAGAACAGCTCGTGCGTGATAAAATCTTGCGCATTCATCACGAGAACAAGGATCTCTCGCATCGTTCCATCGCTAAAACGTTGGGAATCGCGAATTCCACGATGTCGCGAGTGATTAAGCGGTTCGAGGAACGGTTGACCACCGATCGGAAGCCCAGAAGTGAAGGAAAAAGTATTGCGTACAACACCAAAAATCACAACCGCGTAGTTGGGGCCTTCAACCGAAATCCGAACGCCTCCGTTAGGGATGTGGCTAAGAAGCTGCACCTAAGCCGAAGTTTTGTCCAGAAGGCCAAAACTAAGGCTGGGCTTCGAACGTTCAAGGTACAAAAGGCCCCTAATCGCGACGAGAAGCAGAACAAGTCCGCCAAAACCCGTGCCAGGAAGTTGTACCTCAACATGCTGACGAAAGTTGAATGCTGCATCATGGACGACGAAACATATGTGAAGGCCGACTTCAAACAGATCCCCGGCAACCTGTTTTTCACGGCCAAGGATAAGTTCAGCGTTCCGGAGCATGTCCGCACTCAGAAGATGTCCAAATTTGCGAAGAAATTCCTGGTTTGGCAAGCCATCTGCACGTGCGGGAAGCGGAGTGCACCTTTCGTGACCCAGGACACGATGAACGGACAGGTGTACATAAAAGAGTGCCTCCAGAAGCGGCTGCTTCCTCTCCTGAAGGCCCACAACGTCCCAACAATCTTCTGGCCGGATTTGGCCTCATGCCACTACTCCAAGGACGTGCTGAAGTGGTATGCGGACAATAAGGTCAATTTCGTGCCGAAAATGTTCAACCCTCCCAACACTCCGGAGCTCCGCCCCATCGAGAAGTACTGGGCGATTATGACGCAGCACCTTCTTAAACGACCTAAGGTAGTGAAGACAGTCGAGGAACTGAAGAAAGTATGGGTTTACATGCAAAAAACGGTTGAT